TTTTATTCAGTCTGTCCAGCATCAAACAGTATAAGATGCAGAGCTAAAGTGAGAAGTCAAAGCTGAAATATACAGTCTAGAGTGAGTTTAAGCACTTAATGGTGTTTTATCAAAACATGCCTTTGCTTCAGATTTTTTAATCAAAAAATTCACAAGGATCCTTTGAGTCATCGTTTGCACCATTTCCCTTTTAGTAGTTTTAAGAAAAGAAAGAACAGCTTTTGCTGGTGTTTAAACTACTAGTGGGAAGCTTGGTATGTTCATCTCTTAGCAGTGACCACTTGTTAAATCAAGTTAAAAAAGTAGAAGATGCTGCCCATAACTACATCCTTGTGCTTGATACCAAAATCTGCAGTCAGAGGGGGGCATTCACAGGTGAATCTTTAATCTGTAAAAGCTAAAAAATTTAACAGTAACTATTTGAGAAGAGAATGGAATTTAAAATTGAATTTCCATTTCTATAAAGTAAGAGGTTTACAAATCATCTAAAACCATAGCAAAAGGACTCAAGATTATTGAACACTCATTTTTTTACGTATTTGAACTTCAAAAAGAAGTACTTTTTCTCACCTTTTTGATAACAGAATGATTTAAAAATTGAAACTTGGTTTCAAGTAACAGTTGCTCATATTTTACATTCATGCATACATCTTTAACATTCTTTATGAATAGATAAGGAGACCACAAAGTAAATTTTTTAAATAATAAATCAAATTTCAAAAACAAATTTTTTAGTCTTTGCAAAATTTTCCTAGATTCTGAGTTTTATAGCAGCCTGTTTTTTCAGCCTGACATCAATTTGGCATCTGTATCTAACCTGCACCACTTTATTGTGGATTCTTCCATATTTTATTTCTTGAAACTTATTACCAAGACCCAGCAGATTGTTGTTGTTGTTGTTATTTGCCGTTGAGTCGCCCAGACTCATAGCGACCCCTCCTTGGGTTTCCTAGGCAGTATCACTACGGAAGTAGGAATGCCCAACCTTCCTTCCGAGGAGTGGCTGGTGGGTTTGAACCGCCAGCCTTCTGGTTAGCAGTCAAGTGCCTTAGAATTGATCTGAGTAAAATACAATTTGTGCAGATATTCTATTTGAACACCAGAGGGCAGAAAAGTCTGTTGAAGTGAAGGGACTCTGACTGCATCCTTGAATTTTCAGGCATACTGATATTGTAGAGTGATACTATGGTAAAGTTAAGGTTTAGGTTTGACTTTAGGTGACAAGAAGTACAGCATTCTATCAAAACTAAAAAGTTAAAATAGCTAAGTTGTAGTATTTATTTACTTAGTGATGATGTCAACAGAAAGCACTGCTGGGGAGAACAACTTAGAATTCAACATTAAGAGCAATATGGACACAGAAAATAAAATAGCAAATATGATTTTAATAGTCTAGTTAAAATTTTTGGCTTAAGCATAAAGTGGCTCTCAGTAAATATTCTGGTCATTCCATAGTGCGGTGTAGTAAATTACTTAGGGTGGCTTTTCTACCCATGAGTCTTTGTAAACTCCGAGGTGGAATTTGCCATGAGAATGAAGGAGCCCCTGATTGCTAAAGTTATCCACCTGGGGTATTTCTGTTGAGAGTGGCACAAAGCAATGTTTCAGGAAGTAAGCTCTCCCTCAGGTGCTTGGAATTCTGATGTTACGATTGGTTAGTTTGGCCACTCTGGCAGCCTAAAAGGAGGCTTCCTAGAGTCAGAAATCTCTCTGACTGCTGGCTGAGAAGGACGTGCTGCTGAGAGAAATGTGCTCCTGAGAGAAAGGCGCTCTTGAGACACATGCTTCTAAGAGACACATGCTGCTGGGAAAGAGATGCAGGAGACACGCATTGCTGAGAGAGACATCGAGTGACACACACTGCTGGGAGAGAGACTGCAAGAGACTATTGGCTGAGAGACAGTGGGTAAGAGAAACTGAGGGTTTTTCCTGAACTGGAATTGTAGCCTGGTGCTTTCCTAATAAACCCCATAATCTGTGAGTTCTGTGTGGCCACTGCAGTGAATTACCGAACCCAGCAGAAAGGTGGTGAGTGCTGCAGGAGGAACAGTTGGTGTCAGGGCTGATGAGAGGGCTGGGGAGAGGCAGCATGTCTGGCCTCGCAGCAATAGGTCTTGGGCTGTTGATGGTGATTCTGTCTTCCTCTTGTGGGGTTAGAGGAGGTCAGAAGATGTGGCCTGCCTGCCCCCTTGGCACATCGAAAGCCAATTATTTGGCAAAAGCTGATTTTCAGAAATAGTTTGCCAGGCCTTTCTCCCTAGTCCCTTTTAGTTTGGAAGCTCCACTGAAACCTGTTCAGCATCACAGCAAATACCAGTATCCACCAATGGACAGTGGCTGTGCATGGACTGCACTGACCAGAAATCAAACCTAGATCTCCCACTTGGAAGGTGGGAATTGATAGGTCTCGATTTATTCAAGTCCTAGCATTTCACAAGCTATGAGACCTTGAACATATTTATAACCTTTTTCTTAACTATAAAACTGTAATAATAAATATTCATCCTACCCTGTTATCATAAGAATATGATGAAATAATATGTATATGCTTATCACACTATCTAGATCATAAGAAGTGTGCAATAAATGTTTGTTTTTATAAAAAATTCTGAATTGGAGTTTGTAGAAAATAAGATGAATCGTGGCTTCAATTGAAAAACAAATTTAACTTTAAAGGGAAAGAAATAGAAAAAAATGCCAGGAGATTATGTAAAAATAAATGCAATTCTTTTCAGTTAGAGTATTCAACAGTTTATCACATTTATCAATTTACAAATGCAATTACTTGATACACTATGGAATATAATTTCAATAATTTTATGAATGCAGGGTTATTGAAAATGGAAATAAATGTATTTATACATATAGTTTGGGAAAAGCACATATGTGTAACAGAATCTTGTAACAGATATGATGTTCCTAATTTCAACATCAGCATTCCCAATGCAAAATATAATGTAGAAAACCACAGTAATACTAATGTATGCAAATCAAAAACATCAGGAAGAAAAAAAGTATGACTGTAGAAGCAATGAAGTGAAGAGATTGTACACTCTTACATTATTTGGTCCTAGTCACTTCAAAGGGAGCTCTGGTAGCATAGTGGCTAAGGCACTTGACTGCTAACCAGAAGGCTGGCGGTTCAAACCCACCAGCCACTCCGCGGAAGGAAGATAGGGCAATCTACTTCCGTAGTGATACTGCCTTGGAAATCCAAGGATGGGTCGCTATGAGTCGGGTCCGACTTGATGGCACATAACAACAACAACAACAACAACAGACACTTCAAAGAGAACATAGAGGAACCTAGTTGCTAGTTGCCATCAAGTCTGTTTTGACCCATGGCCGTCCCATCTGTGCAGAGTAGAATTGCATCATATGGTTGTCAAGGCTGTGATCTGTCTTAGGCAAATCACCAGGCTTGTCTTCCTAGGCACTTCTGTGTGGGTTTGAACCACGAACATTTAGGCAAAGAGTTGAGCATCATTTGCACCACCTAAGGACTTATCTGTTGGAAATGACTGATTCCCTTTCACTACCGTGGCTTTGTAGATACTTCCTGAAAACTTGTCAGAAGGAATGCTCATCACCATTCTTATGGAAGCCAATTGGAAAAGGTTGGTCAACTAAAATTTAAAAAATATTATTTTAATAATAATAATTTCATATTATTAATACTATTATTATATCATTAATGCCTTAACTGATTGATTTAAAATAGCTTATATGGTTCTTCACTATCTAAAACAAGCATACATAGATATACCCTGAGTTGGGATTAGAACAACAAGAAAGAAACTCCTTTTAACCAAAACTGTAAGGAAAATAAAACATTTTGATAGGAGCTAGGATAATTTTTTTCTAAGTTCTTCAAAATAACATAAATAAACAGATCAAAGAGAGTATCTAGTGGAGTCCTGCAGAGGGAAATTTTCTGTCTCCATTATCAATTTTGGCCCAAGTGTGGGCTACAGATGAAAATTAGTTACAAGGCATAATTCTCAGCTTTAGTGTTAGATGCAAAATTGCTTACACATTTTAAAACATCACAGGAATTCCATGAGAAATATAGATATTTAGAAAGAATAAAGAATATCTCTTAAATGTCCCTTCCCTATGTCTGATCATCTTTTCTCTTTCCCAAATTTATATACATATAATTAAGTATTATAGGTATATAATTATTTCTGTGGCAGCTTAGTAGCTGTGTATTTATGAGGAGAGTCATGTAAAATGTGAGTTGTCTTTAAGCCTCATATAAAATTTACAGCTCTTTCAGCCAGAGGCAGGGAAAGTGGTGAAATGACTAATGACCACCTATGCAGCATCTCTGTCTTACACTATAATTGAAAAATAATGCAGTCTTTATGCATCAGTATGTACTCATTTTGACAATTATCTCCAGTTCCTGAATATTATAGCACACTTCTTTATCTACAGGCATGAATAATTTCTTATAATTAATGTGGATGGTTTCAACCCACAAATCCTTTCTGCTGAAACAACCAGATAATTGAAATTAAAAATAAAATGATCTGAAGGATGTAAGTCCTTTACTTGTTTGTTTAAATAAACTCATGTAGAAACAGTTCAGAATGTGATGGTCCAAGATATTTACTGTCAAGATTCTATGGGTAAAAATATTCCCAGGTAGAGTGGCTTTCTGAATTTTAACCACAACCTACCCCCATCCCCCCAAAAAAGGTATTAATCAGAGATATTACATATAAGGAGAAAACAAATATAATTTAACATCAGTTTCTTGAAAACAGTAGCGTCGTGGGAAAGCTAAGAGCTTGAACTCTGCAGCCAAAGAATCAAGGTTTAAAACAGCTCTACTGCTTATTAGCTCTGTGACTTTAGGCAAATTTCTGAGCCTGTCTATGCCTGAGATTCCTTTTCAGTAAACATGTTTCTCGGGTGACTACCATAATTCATTATAATAGAATTAGAAAATATAATATTAAGATAACAATTAAATCATTATTTTGGATACATACTGTACCAGGTCGAGGATAAGGAATTCTTCCATCATACTGCACCCAACGATGGTCTGCACTTTCCTTATGAGCATATGGTCCATTAAAAACGGCTCTGATGTCAGCCATGCTATACACACAAACAGCTGAGCCTTTGAAGATGGAGCTAAAGGCAAGCAACAAGATTCAATCACTCACAGATTCATACAGCCGACATTTATTGAGCACATACTATGTTCTAGATACTGTAGATAAAAATGATTGTGCACATATTACATGCCAGGGAATATAGACAAAAAGTGTCTCTGCCCTCAAGGAACTTTTAGTCTAGTAATCCTGAATAAAGTGTGATAAGGAATACACTCCATACAAGTAATGACAAGAAGCTATCGAGGCACATGGATGGGTAATGAATAAAGACTGACAAGTAAGTTTTTAAGGAGGAAGCGACATTTAAGTTGACACCAATGGATAAGTAGAATTATCTAGAAAAATTCATAGATAAGGAATGGTATAAAGGAAAGAATATTGTATTTATCCATGTGTTCTTAAATTTAATTGAAACTATAAAACATAATAGTTCTTTCTAAAATGCTCAGAAAACAAAAAGTTATATTATCTATTTCTCAGTTGTGGTAGTTAAGTTTGTGTGTCAACTTGGCTGGGCCCAGTAGAGTGGCTGGTTAGCTGAATGCAGTTGTTCCTGATTCTAAGACTGGTAATTCACTCCATGGTGGAATCTATTGGAGCAGCAGAGTAGCTGCTTTGAGTATGTGGTCTGCTTCCCGTATAGAAGAAACAGCTTTGGAATGGTCTCTAGCTTACGGCATGCTTGAACACTGCATTTAGCTGTGTCATTGTTCAGCAGCCTGCCATACTCTGCTGATTGTGGGACTTCCAACGGATTTGAATTAATGGCCTGCTGTGTGGTTTGGTAACATTAGGACTGTGCCTTTTTACTTGTCAACCTTGGGCTTGTCAGCCTCAGCAGCCAGCAGCTGTCTGAGGGAAGAAAAGCCTCTAGCTCCATTTTATGATTTTCTTCATAAAATGTTTTCTAAAATAAAAAGTTATATTATTTATTTCTCAGAAAAAAATAAATCCTTTAGATATGTGGGTAATAATCCTCTCACTTATCTGCTTTCTTAAAGTGAGTGCATGGCCATAAATACATGCAATTAAATAAGTTCCTCAGATGATTTAAAGCAAATGGTTTTAACAATGTTAAAACAATGTTGGCTTTCAGTTTGAGTTTATGAATTAATGTAGCTTATCCAGTGCTTAAAGTTAATCATAATCACAAAGGATTGTTGTTGCTGTTGTTGTTATGTGTCGTTGATTCAAACTGACGCATAGCAACCCCTCCTTGGGTTTCCGAGGCAGTATCACTATGGAAGTAGATTGCCCAACCTTCCTTCCAAACAAAGGATAGTAGCCCACATTATTAAAAGGCAGAAAAGCTCTACAGGAATTCTACAACGTTTTTACAAGCTAACGATGAAATGTATTCACACTATCATCAGATGTTTCCTTCTTTGTTTTATTTCTGAAAATTGGAATCACTTCCTTAGAGTCAAACTTTCAGTGACTCCTGATCTTAAGAAAGAGATCATCCCTTATGATCTAAGAGAAATATTATCTCCGCATTATACAAAGGAGCTACTGACTCTCTAACCTGAGTATCTAAGCTATTAATGTTCTTGGAAAGACATTGATGGGGAATATGCAGAGGTGATGGTAAATAGGCGGTTGGGGGAAAAAGCCGCTAAAGAAGTGAGGTGACATTCCCATCAAAGTTACATGATCTACTTATGACATTTCCAAGCAATGATGAATCATGCTTAATGACATTTCTGTTATTACAGGATAATTATGTCTTTTCATTGGACAAAGAATGTGACATACATCCTGACATTACCTCAGTCTTTATGGCAGCATTAAAAATAAAAAAAAGCACACCAAGAACAAAGAACTGACTTGTAACTTCACACCCTGGGTGGGCAGAACTTGGTAAGCGAAAAGAAAACTATCTTGAGGCTACTTTTTCCTGGCACATATCTGTGCCTTGTGTACGGAACACACAATGACTTCAAAGAAAGTCCTGTGAATAGAAAAGTGCCAAGAGAACTAGGGCTGAGATATTTAACTTGAGTAACAGGCACCTGGTTTTCTTGCATCTTTTTATATTCAAATACAAATTGATAGGAAAAATGAAGACCAGAATAAGAGTGTCTTAGGATATGTTCTTTATACTACATGTAAATATTCACATTTCATATCTTATAATAAATCAAATAGTCTTTTATTTGAAGATATATTTTGACCTAATAGTGCATTTTAATTTTTACGTAACATATTGTTTACTAAATGAGGCTCAAACAAAAAGCATGCTAATGTATAATTTGCATGCAAAATACTTTAAGAATGTATTCAAAAGAAGGCAGTAAGACCATTCTTCTTAATACCAATATCAGTACCTCCAATTCTTCCAATACCAATATCAATCCACACTGATAAAGATCGATAGCAGAGCTGTTCAAAAAGGTGGTAAGTATTTCAAGAATGTGTTGTGGACAGTGATATTTATCAAGAGTAAAGATCAAGTTTAAATTACCAAATTATATAACATTAAGAGAATAGCGTTCAATTACATGTCAAAAGAGCTTCATAGATGCTAATACAACCTTTAAGAAAGTCAGTGTCTCATTGGCAAATACAGGACAGCATAATGGAGAAAGGTGACAAGAATAAAGAAATAAAAACTACGAAAACATCTTCAATTCTGGCCAATTTTACTGCTAATTGGCTTCTCTTCTCTGGGCAAGTAATATAAATATTCTTTGCTTAAACTAGTAAAGTTGTTAAATGGTGATAATAAGATCCATTTCCATCTTTATGGAGTAATAGGAAGTCCAAATAAGGTAGCTTGATTTTAATAATGTCAAGAGTATCCCATCACATGATTATAGACGAAACAACAACGATGACATTTATTTAGTATAAACTCTCTGATAGGTAGGTTGGAAGTACTTATAATTGTGTCTGCATATGCCTTTGACTCAGCATTTCTAGTCTGGGATGCACTTGGTAGTATGGGCCATGGCACATGTGCAAGGTTAGTCACTGCAACAATCTTTGTAACAGCGAAGATTTGGAAATAATTGAAATGTCCATGTAAAGGCACTGATGAAATAAGTTATGGTAATTGATGTTGAGGATATCATGCTGCTGTAAAAAGGAAAAGGAAACATTTTATGTGCTAATCTTAAAAGATTTCTGAGAAATCCTAAGTGAAAAAGTAAAATGCAGACATGTGTATGACATGCTACTTCAAAAGCTTGGACAAAAATAGCATATAACTATATTGGCTTACATACACATAAATACTCTCTAGATGGATTAAAATACTTTTTCTGAACATACCTGGTTGTAGTAAAAACTCCATATACTACAGGATTTCTTTCATCTCTTGTGGGGAGTAAGTAAATGTCTTCTATAAATGGGAAAAGAATATCCATGATGTTTTTATTTTCCAGAGTTACAACTTTTTTTTTGTATTTATTTAATAATGCAATATTTATGAGACTCTATTTAAATGTATGAAAAATTAAGATGGCAGTGATAGTCACTGTATTATGACTTAAGACATTAGAGTTAAAAAATGGTTTGCTCTCTAGCAGTATGACACTGATTTAAACATTTAACCCTATAGGTGTTTACTCAAATCACCTATAAATGAAATGGTTCACTGACAATCTCCACGACAGTTCGCAACTGACAGTTCATACAGAATATAAACATAAATCATATGATTATCTTCCAGTGTAAAGAGAGCATTATCTTGAAATAAACTTGTTAGTAATTCAATAGCTACACAAGTAAATAATGTAGTATGGATACTAAATTATGTGTAAATAATGCCCCTTGAAAGATTACTGAAGATGTGATTGTGGATTATACACAAAATGAGAATTTTCTATAAATATTTTATACATACATTTTACTACTGTAAATATAATAACATTTACATTACATGGCAAAAATACAAATTCAAGAAAATAAAAGCTAATGATGCTAAATTTAAATTCATCTAGGATTAATTTTGGGGAAGATAAGAAGGTGAAGTGAAAGAGCAGAATCTCTTTAAATGCTCCAGAGTTTTCTTTTTGTTAATGAGTCAGGACACAGGTACCAAACCTTCCATGGTGTCCAGCAGAGGGCATCCTTAGAATAAGGAACCCGAGTTCTTCCCACCTCACAGGCTAAAAACCAAAAAAACAAACCCACTGCCATGGAGTCAATTCTCACTCATAGCAGCCCACATTGGGTTTCCTAGGCCGTAAATGTTTAAGGAAGTAGACTGCCCAGTCTTCCTTCCACAGAATGGCTGGTGAGTTTGAACCGCCAACCTTCTGGTTAGCAGTCAAATGCCTTAGGCACTGCATTGATGGTTCCTTCCAACCATAAGACTGTGAGGAAAATGGAAAGGTTGGATGTTGCTGTCCCAGAGCTAATAGCTTTATGTCTCCTTCTGGAGTTTCATTTCCTTCAATAACTTAAAGGATTCTTACAAAGAAAGGAGCTGCTTTCATTCCCATGTGCCCAAACCTGGAGTCTTATGTGCTTGGAAGTGTGCAAGTTAAGTCAGACCATTTCTGCAACCTGTGATGAGATATATAAGATGACTTTGGGCTAAAATAAAATAAATGCTGAATTACTTAGTTAAGCTTTGTTAAGTAATAAGGAAAGTACAACTTACGAAGCTCATCAAAATGAGTATCTGCCCCACTTCCCGGAATTGAGCAAATTAATCTGGCCTTAAGAAAAGTTGTCCATTTGTTTATCAGACTACGTTGTCCTCCTACATCATTCTGGCAAAAAAGAAAAAAAAAAAAATAAGATAAAGATTTACCATCATGATTGCATCACTAACAAGAACTGGTGCTGTTACAGGTAGTGTCTTATTAATGTTATTATTTACGAAGATACAGAGCCTACGTATGTAGTCCTTAAACTTTCTAATGGAGGAAAGGTAGTTTTGTCCTTCAATATCAAACATTTTTCTCATGGTTCAATGCTAGCATCTTAGCTCTACTGAAAGAGGAGATGCGTGCAAGGTTACAGTAAATGAGGCAGGCTTGGATTCAAATACCATCTCTGCTAATGTTTTGCTCTACGACCTACAAAAGGTTATTTCATTGTCCAAATCTCCATTTTCTCATCTATAAAATAATTAGTTCCTTGAAATATAGTTCTAAGTGGAATAATGTATGCAAATTGCTTAGCACAGTGCCAGTCAACTTGAATTCAATAAATGCTAGAACAAAGTTGGATACGTTATTCATATCATTGAGATCAATATGTGCATTCTTTAGAAATATGCCTCCTTATAGATTTATAGCACTTTCCAAATTCAATGCCCTAGTGTTTAAACATTAAAACAACATAATCTTATCTATAACATACATAAAAAGCAATCTTAAATTTCAAACACTAATCTGTATTTTCCATACTTCGTTTTCCCTCCAAAATATTTCCTTAAAAATGTTCTTTAGGCATTTAACAAAACATAAGATTCTAAATTAATTAACTAGAATAAACAAGGTTGTGCTCATCAGTAATTCCAAATAAAAAACAAAACCAAACTCACTGCCATTGACTGGATTCCGAATCATAGTGACCCCACTGGGTTTCTGAGGTGGTAAATCTTTACAGAAGTAGATTGCCCAGTCTTCCTTCCACAGAGTGTCTGGTGGGTTTGAACTGACAACCTTCTGGTTAGCAGTCAAATGACTTAGGCACTATGCCACCAAAGCTCCTGGCGATGCTACAGAAGAAGCTTTTACTTTAAAATTAATATGTCTTTGTAACTGCAAAATTACTATGATTTTTATTTGACTGAACTAGTTCTGCTGTCATGATAATAATACAAAACAGACTATTTCATGAACTAAACATTTTAGGTACTTAAAGTTTTGTTTACAAAAATTACTTTTGGAGTCATTTTTCTCATTAATGTGTTTAAATTTAAATATAAATTGGATAAAACTTTTTATCCCTCAGGGAATCTGTGTTCTACAAAGTTGATAAAAAGTTAACTTTCAAGTCAAATTTCACGACTGAATATTTAGCAACTGCCTTTCCAATGCTTGTATTTTATCTCTGAAAAATTAAATATTAGAGAAAAACATCTAAATGATGACTCCAAAAAGAACCCAGTGTTGTCTAAATATTTGCTATTCTTGAAGAGGAAGAAAGGACTGTGGGGAAAACAAGAGACGGCAGTATATTAGTATTACAATGATTACTGTGAAAATTCAACTCTAAAGATATTAAGGAGCTCTGGTGGTGTAATGCCTAAGGCACTTGACTGCTAACCAGAGGCTGGCGGTTCAAACCCATCAGCCACTCCTTGGAAGGAAGGTTGGACAATCTATTGCCATAGCGATATTGTCTCAGAAACCCAAAGAGGGGTCATTATGAGTCGAATCCGACTCCACAGCAGTGAGTTTGATTTTTCGGTTTGGT